TAAATATAAATCATACAAAAAAAATATCCCCCACACCATTCCACCAACGCCAGCCTGAATCGCTAGTACAAGGCAGGATGGATCCATGCTTTCATGTTGTTGATGCCAAATTCTGACCCTACCATCAGAATGTCGCAGCAGAAATCGAGACTTTTCAGACCAGGCAGCATTTTTCCAATCTTCTATTGTCCAATTTTGGTGAGCCTGTGCGAACAGTACCCTTAGTTTCCTGTTCTTAGCTGACAGGAGTGGCACCCAATGTGGTCTTCTGCTGCTGTAGCCCATCCGCCTCAAGGTTTGACATGTTGTGTGCTCAGAGATCTTCTGTATACCTCGGTTGTAATGAGTGGTTATTAGAGTGCTCACAAAACTGTCGCTCACTAGACATTTTTTCTTTTTTTGATTATTCTCTGTAAAACCTAGAAATGGTTGTGCGTGAATATCCTAGTTGATCAGCAGTTTCTGAAAAAGTCAGACCAGCCTCTCTGGCACCAACAACCATGCCACATTCAAAGTCACTTAAACTACCTTTCTTCCCCATTCTGATGCTCGGTTTGAACTGCAGCAGATCGTCTCGACCATGTCTACATGCTTAAATGCATTGAGTTGCTGCCATGTGATTGGCTGACTAGAAATTTGCATTAACAAACAGTTGGACCATTGTACCTAATAAAGTGGTTGGTATTATTATCAGATGGCCAAAATGTGGTAAACTTTTTTCATTAATTTGTGAAAATACTGGTGTCTGAGATACCGAGTCCAGAGACTGTTGTGTTCACTATGATTTTATATAAAAATTCACTTTAATGTGGGATATGACTAAAAAGTGGTCATAAACAAATGATTTCTCAATTCAAATGTGTAGCGGCTTGGACTCGGAAACAATATTTCATGTCACCGATACATCATGACTCAAGCAGATGGCGAGAGCAAGAATAGCCCATAAATTGAAAATGAAAAGTCATTACATGTGGTCAAATATGGTGAACTATACTCAGAATTTGTGCTCTGCATTTATTCCATACACAGAGCAACGAACACACCCTACACACACACACACACACACACACACACACACACCTGAAGCAGTGGCTAACCTTTGCTGTGACACCTGGGGACCAGTTGGCGCTTCAGTGTCTTGCTCAGAAGACACACCCCAGTCACGTTATTGGGGGTAGTGAGAGAAAAAGGGACGTATTAACTCACAACGCCCACAATCTCTGCAGGTGCCAGGACTCGAACCTGCAACATTTTGATGAAAATTCCAACTGTCTAAACATTGGACCTTTTTTTTTCTTTTTTGGAAGTGGACCTTGTTCATTCATAGTTTATTTAACACTCACAGACACCCTTGCAAGTTTTATTTTTTCTAATGTGATCATTAATTAGAATGCATCACTCTATATATTTCCATAATGACATATTTGGTTTATAACATGAAACAATGCAGCCTCCTGCGCTGCAGTTGAAAAAAAAAAAAAAAAAAAAAGAGCTGCTGGATATACAACATGTCAATTCATCAACTTCCCGCAAGGTGTATGAGATTAAGTGGCAAATTAATTGGGGGAAGAATAGAGTGAGTGTTATAAAGTTTACCTAAATTGTTAATCTGTAGTGAATAATACATCAATTTTATTTCATTTTCCATTGAAATCAGTGTATATTTTACAAATCACAAATATTTTATTTTGCTACATGTGTTTATTCAAATGTCTGCAACACAAAACAATTGCTATTCCATAGAAAATACTGATGAGTTTTGTTGATTCACAAGCAATGTGCATGTCTTTCTCTTAATCTGTTGACTCATTATAGCTCCGCCCACAGCACGCCTCCAGGCACTCAGGTTTATCTAGAGAGAATCTCAAAACTGCATCTCTCTCATATAATTATAAAAAGTAAAGGCTTGTAAGAGAAAAGATGGATGCAGCACATCTCTACTTCTCTCAGTAAGTACTCAAGATTCATATGAAATAATAATATTATAAAATAAGAATAACATGGTCAAAACGAGCCTGATACTCCACTTTAAAACTGTCAGTCCCCAAACTTGAACCCAAACAAAATTAGGGAATGTTTTTGACCTCTAGGGAAGCTAATGATCTCATAGTTTCATATTTAAATAATCAGAATTTTCTAGCAACAGTACATGTGATTGCATCATAAGTCCTCTATATGATTCAGAAATTCCAACATTGAATTTTTTTAATATTACCTTTCTTTCAGTATGTAATGTAGATGTTTAAGAATATTAAAGGTATCTTAAGTTTATCTTAAGTTTAAAAATAAAAATTGCACAACACATAAACACCAGCAATTTTACATATCTACGTAGACTCAAATGTGCAAAGAGTAATGTCACCCTACAGACTTCATTGGCTTCATTAGCAAACATCATTTACAGTACCTCGAAATTCAGATCCAATTTTTAAATTCAGATACAGCAATGAGCATTTTGTTTCTGATGCACACTTTAAGTAGTAAACCAGTTATGAGAGACTGAACCATCTGACCAATCAGAGAAAGCTCTTGAAAAGTAGGGTTTAGAAATTGTGACTCAATCTTTAAACCAGGATTGCCCAAATATTATTTATAAAGGGCCAAAAACCAAACTTGATTGAAGCTAGTGAGCTGAAGGCAAATTTTCTAATTTATTTAATAAAATCTCAAATTAACCAGAAAACATTGCTTTATATTAACTAATACAGCATTTTTTTACATTTTATATTGAACATATTACATGCAGTAAACACAAAAACAATCTAATTATAACAGAATGGACTTACACTTGTTTTTGCCTTGATTTGCTCACCAATGTCTTCTGTGTAGTCCTCTATCCGTTGACAGACATTACTTAAATTTTTTTAATCTGACTTATTTATTTACAGTACAACATTTAACTGAAACATGCTTTTTATGATAACTTAGCAATAAAACAAACAAACAAAAAAAGGGTATGTCTAATTATAAATGACAATCTCTTTGAAGGCATTCGCCCCATTATTCTCATTCTTTTCCCAGATGGGATGGTGGGCCAAATCAAAGATTACAATGGGTTGACTTTGGCCCGTGGGCCCTACTTTGAGCATCTCTGCCTTTAAACTAATCATGAGACTCTTTGGTAAATGGAAAACTGTAAAGTATAAATAGTGCTCAGCCTATATAAGTACAACCCTAATAAATCTCTCATTTAAATTAATATTTTCTATAAGAGGCTTTACAATACCATATTTGTGCGTATTAGTTTAGTCAGTACTGAACCCAAATCTGGAGATAATCGAACAAAATAACTTGATAATGGTCCAACGTTAAAACACCCAAATTTATATGCAAGGGAAAAATATTAAATAAAAAATATAAAATGGACAAAATTCAAGTGAAACAAAAAAAATTCTAAAATTAGTTTAGAAATTTTTTTTTTGCAATATTTTGCCTGAATTTAACAGTATTATCATTCTATTTCTAAAGATGTTTGATGAATAGAATACAATTTTATTAAATATATCTGTTTAATAAATTTGCTTTGTGGGTGACAGGGTGGCGCAGTGGGTAGTGCTGTAGCCTCACATCAAGAAGGTCGCTAGTTCGAGCCTTGGCTGGGTCAGTTGGCATTTCTGTGTGGAGTTTGCATGTTCTTCCCGCGTTCGCATTGGTTTCCCCCACAAGTCCAAAGACATCTGGTACAGGTGAACTGGGTAAACTAAAATTGTCTGTAGTGTCTGTGTGTGAAAGAGTGTATGTGTGTTTCCCAACGATGGGTTGCAGCTGGAAGGGCATACGATGCCTAAAACATGTGCTGGGTAAGTTGGCCGTTCATTCCGCTGTGGCGACCTCAGATTAATAAAGGGACTAAGCCAAAAAGAAAATGAATGAAAATCTGCTTTATTCAAATGCACCAAAATATATGACAGATATTCTCTGAGAAATGGATAAAAATATTAATTCTCAAATTAGGGTGTTTAATTGATTTCAATCTATATAAACTTATTTTAGAAATAAGTAGGAGTCAAAAGAAAGAAAGAAAGAAAGAAAGAAAGAAAGAAAGAAAGAAAGAAAGAAAGAAAGAAAGAAAGAAAGAAAGAAAGAAAGAAAGAAAGAAAGAAAGAAAAAAAAGAAAGAAAAACATGGTAATGCTATAATGATACTTTAAATTTATTAAATTTATGCTAATTTCAGAAACAAAATGTTACTATAATTTCATAGAAAATATCTCACAAAGCATGGATTTGCAAAGCTGTATCATTTATTTCCAACCTAAAATCAATAAAGTAAAAAATCCTAAACAATACACGGTCATATGAACAAAGGATCCAAGCATTGCATTAAATTAGCTATGGCAGATTATGGTTTAATTCAATATTAAAAATATTCATTCATTCATAAGTCAAACTACTGTGGTTTCTATATTTTTAAAAATGAGCTCCTAAATAACAGCTCATACAACATTTTAATTTGTCATGTCATTTAAAACCTGATGATCACAACACAAGTTACTTTGAGTGTCAAACATTATTGAACTATTGATATCATGTAATTTCTGGAACAAAGGGATATTTTTATTTTAATTTTTTTTATTTTTTTTTTATCGGATGAATGAAAAGAGTGATAAGAATGTAAGGAGGCACTAAGACCCAGAGGACAGCATCCTCTCTCAAACCCGAAGATCATGGTTATCAAAGCTGCAACTTTTGCATCAGAGCCCTATAAAAAGCAAGGACCCTGCGACCGCCTATCAGTGAAACCTATGAAAAATTGCGGCTGCTTGCAGGCAAAGTATCTACCTTTTAAAGATGAGCCGTTTGTGGACCTGAAGCAGGAGGATCACACTGAGGAGGGTCTCAGGGATGTTCTCACACAACTTCAGGGATGTTTTATTTTGTGCAGTTTGTCAGCTGTTTTATTCGAAGCTGAGTTTTATTTTGCTTGAAGATCCAAGTTTGAGTGTTAGAATGAAACAGAAAGATTTCTATGCCAGTCACAGAAGAGAAGCGTCCCCGAGCGTCTGTCCGCAGCTGATGCTGGAGCTGAAGGAAATCATGAAGAGAAGAAAATACTGCTTTATCTTCAAAATATGAAAACGCATGTTTTCTTCTGGGATGGAGCGCAGCGGTTATTTCAAGCCGACACCTGCCCATTTCGAGGTCTTGAACAGCTCGACCGGCACCAATGTGACTTTGACACCTAAAACGGACGAAAAGCAAGAAAGTTTCGCTTTCCAAGTCACCTTGTCGTCAGTTCTGGGTCTCATCACTCTCGCAACAATATTAAGCAATGCGTTTGTCATTGCCACCATTTCCCAATCCAGAAAGCTCCAGACACCGGCGAACTTTCTGATCGCGTCGCTGGCCGTCACGGACCTTCTGGTGTCGGTGCTCGTGATGCCCATTTGCGTGCTGTACACGGTCACCCGCGAGTGGACCCTCGGCCAGGTCATCTGCGACATCTGGCTGTCCTCAGACATAACCTGTTGCACCGCGTCCATACTTCACCTCTGCGTAATCGCCTTGGATCGATACTGGGCAATAACGGACGCGGTCGAGTACGCCAAGAAACGCACCCAGGCGCGCGCCGCGGGGATGGTGGCGACCGCCTGGATCATCGCCATCTCCATCTCCCTGCCGCCTTTCTTCTGGCGACAGGTGAAGGCAGGGGAGCTGACCACCTGCTCGGTCAACACAGATCACATCTTCTACACAATCTACTCCACTTTTGGGGCTTTCTACATCCCTACGCTGCTGCTCATCGCCCTGTACGGGAGGATTTACGTGGAGGCGAGGAAGCGCATTTTGAAGCAGTCGCCCAAAAAACCGGGCAAAAGACTCACCTCTGCACATCTGAGCACTAATTCGCCCGCTTCGGTGGCTTCGACTTCGCCTTTGCATTGCGGAAGGCAGGACCTTTGCTCGGACAGCGGGTCTCTGGGCAGTGACAATCAAATTAGAGTAACTGTGTCCGATTCACTTCTGGAGAAAAAGAGAATATCGGCTGCGCGCGAGAGGAAAGCCACCAAAACCCTGGGCATTATATTAGGAGCTTATATTGTGTGCTGGCTGCCGTTTTTCATTTACACACTGTTGATTCCCCTCTGTTCGTCTTGCTTTTCCCCAGAACTCTTTGACTTTTTCACTTGGCTTGGCTACGTCAACTCACTCATCAATCCTATAATATACACCATGTCCAATGATGACTTTAAAAAGGCTTTTCATAAAGTCATAAGTTTTAGATGTTGCAGACGATAGGAAAAATAAGTAGACCCATAAGGGATAATGATCAGTCAGTCATTATCATTATCGCAAGTGATATCACGGCACTGTTGAATGCTTGATTCTCATTGGCTGACAGACGTCCATCTAAGGTGTTGATTGTTGCTCTGTACCTGCAGAGCTGAAGCAGTTCCAGCTCATTAAAGTCCTGTATCACTTTGCCACATTAATTTATGGACAGAGCAAAAAAGGAAACAAATCATATGAATGACAGGCGACTGGATAAAATTATTTACCTTTTTTTCTATTCTAATTAATCTAATTGCTGCATTGCTTGTAATTATGCTTCTGCCTATTAACACTGAGAGCCGCAGCAGACGCAGGTTATCACGCACAAACAGAAACACACACCCGCGCGCGCGCTCCCGCCCTCTCTTGTTCTCTGTCACAGACACACACACCCTTGGTCACACCAATAACTGCTTAGAAAAACCCAGAGTCTGTTTCTAGTTTAAAAAGTGACACTTTCGAATAGCTAACAATGGCTTGGTTTGTTTCTAATCAGTAAAAAAATCCAGGGATAAAAACCTTAATATATATGTGTGTGTGTGTGTGTGTGTGTGTGTGTGTGTGTGTGTGTGTGTGTGTGTGTGTGTGTGTGTGTGTGTGTGTGTGTATGAAGAGTTCAGATGCAAAAAAAAATTTCAAAAAAAAAAATGATGACATTTTCTCCTAAAATTAGCATTTTCTCAGCCTCCCATGTTTATGTTAACACGCAAGAGTTGGAGAAAAAAAGCTCATTTTAGAATAAAATATCAAGCAGCATGTAGAGGTTCCTGCATCTAAACTCTCTCCCTCTCTTTGTATATATATATATATATATATATATATATATATATATATATATATATATATATATATATAATAAAATCTGAAACATTGTAGTAAAGTGAATGAATCCATTTACATACAGGGTAAATTATTAAGTGTAAAACAACATTGTGACTGCACATTACACATTGCAAACGATTTTATCAAGTAAATGGTCCCCTTACGAACATGAATCTGGGTTTTGTAATGCAAATTGAACCAAACTAACAACAATTCAAACACGGATTTTAAAGTAAAACTGTGGTTACACATAAAAATGAATTCATCAACCAAAAATATATATATATGGTTACACTTTTACTATTAAAAAAGCAATTAATTTAAGTAAGTGTGTGCAGCCTTTTTTCCCTAAAGAGGTTACATTAGCATAGAATTGATGTCCTACAAATCAGACTTTATCTTAATCCTAAGCCTAGATAATCTGACTGCAAACATAATTTCTTACAGAGCTACGTAAATAATTGACCAGGCAAAAATTTAAATAAATAAAGGCATAATTAAGTTAATAGTTGAATAGCAGAGCTAGAAAAACAATGGTCAATCTGACTGAGCAATCAGAATCAAGTATTCCAGAGAACCGTGTCTTTACGTGAGCCTGGTTGAACAAAGTCGCAGGCAACTCCTTCAAAACAGAACAAGTACAATAACTTTGGAGTCTGTTATAGTGCTTTGACAGCTTGTGGTCAACCAGTTGCTAATGAATAATGCAAAAAAAAAAGTGTAAAAAAGCTTCATTGTCTTTATTCTTAATCAAATGTGCAATTAAATTGCTCTCATGTGATCACTGCCTATAGCTGCTGACTGATCCTAAACTTAATAAATAAGTTGGGTAATCCATTTTCTCGTGCTCCCATCCAGTACACGTCTTTCTTCCTGTCTTCTGGTTGATTAAGCAGTATGAGTTACTTACAAAAGTGCATGCTTACCTCACGCTTAAATAATGAATGCAGGCCTATTAATGAGAGATCCATGTACTTAAATCTATTATTAATATCACTCTCATTGCCCATGTTCCTGAAATACGGATGTTGGCGAGAAATCATCGTTTCCACTCACTGAGCATTACGAAATGAGACCAAGCGGTGGGAATATATACACTGAGGTCAAGTGCTCACTGTACAAACAACCGAGTTCAAGAGCAACAGAGTTAAACTGACCAACCCAAGTGAATTGAGACCTACTTCTAACCATATTGATTCACCTTCTGCTCATAAGTCATATTATCTGTCACTTGGCATGCAGTGTGAGAGATCACAGAGTAACTGAGAATGACACGTCTACCGCAGGAGGTGAGTAATACGTCAAAGACGCATCAGAAAAGGGCTGAGGGAGAGATATCGAACCATCAAGCCCATATGAAGGTGACAGGGAAGGATCACAGCAAAGCTGTAGCGTTGTGTGAAAAGGCACGTTTGATATTTCCCAGAATTCAGTTTTTCCCACCCCTACAATCAGCCCATGTTTCCTTCAACCCTGCTTTTTCTATGTGTAGTCCTGGGGGATATTGATTTGGTTATCATGCTGTAAAAACCTCCAACAGCAGCCACTGAAATTGGGGACATTTTTAAGCAGGGGGCCAATGAACTAGAAACTGACATGGATATCAACATGCTGATGTTTTCGCTGGGATTTGGACTTCCAGATTGAAGACCCTTTTAATGTCTGCGAATCTGATGCGAGGCCTAATTTTATACCATTACAGCTTGAATGCTTAATGCCATGCAAACACCCGCAATAAGTGTAAGCTGTCTCCTCAGAAGCGTTTAACAGTGAATCACAAATGAGCTCTCAGTAAGCCATGGAAGCCAAGCAAGCAATGTGATGACGTTAAAAAAAAAAAAAGTTAGTTGTTTTTGGAGTATGCTGATTAATCTGTCTTTTATCATGAGTAGTATTAGTATAAAACGACCTGGGCAGGCTTGGAGGAGCCATTAATTATTTGTTTATTGGATTAATTAATTTAATCTCTTGTCTTTGCCTTTTATCTTTTCTTCTGAGCCCATTAAACATAGAAGGTTTAATACTATGCAAAATAAACCTTGCATTATTTGTCATTGTTAATGAATGTTTTTCTTCTCTTCTTGTTAATTTTTATATATATATATAAATATACATAATTAAGATTGAAATATTTAATTATAGCACATAACTCATCTCAAATAAAGTTGATCTAATTTTTTTTTTTTTTTGCTCTCCTTATCCTTAATGTCCTCTAAGGATAGAACATTAATCACAAGCAAACACTGAAGCGCTCATTTGCAGGCATATGATGACCACTTGTCTTTGATAACATATGACCTTGATATAATCAACATACAAATCATTCTGCCATATATTACACACGTGGCCTGCATACAGTCTGTCATGTGTATGATGAAACTAACCCATGTTAATTGCTGAAAACAGTCATTAATCATTAATGTGTTCAGAGTTGTTGGACATTGACCTTCATGTTCACGTTTACTCTTAAACTGTATGTCGGGTATTACACCAACATGTCTTTTACAATCAAAACTTGTCAAGATGCTCTGATGATGCTTTACCTTAAAGTAGGGGTGTCCAAACTCGGTCCTGGAAGGCCGGTGTTCTGCAGATTTAAGCTCCAACTTGCCTCAACACACCTGAAAAAATGTTTCTAGAAAGCCTAGCTTGATTAGCTAGCCTAGGTGTGCCTGATTGGGGTTGGAACTAAACTTCGTTGGACACCGGCCCTCTAGGACTGAGTTTAGACATGCCTGCCTTAAAGGAACACTCCACTCTTTGAACATAGAATTATAAATAAAGTTAAGCAGTTGATTTTTACCATTTTAGATTGAATCAGATTAGACCATTAGCATCTCACTCAAAAATGACCAAAGATTTCTGATAATTTTCCTATTTAAAACTTAACTTGTGTAGTTTATTTTATACTGTACCAAGACAGGCCGAAAACTAAAAGTTAATATCATCTAGGCCAATACTCTCATTCCAGAATAGTAATCAAGAAACTTTGCTGCCGTATCATGGCTGCAGCAGGCGGAATGTTCTTGCGCAGCACTTGAAAATGCAGCACCAAGCCCTACACTACCAACATCAATCAGTGTAATATTATATCATATCACCCTCATGTCTTTCTAATCCTCTAAGACTTTTGTTCATCTTTAGAAAACAAATGAAGATATTTTAGATAATAATAATAATAATAATAATAATAATAATAATAATACTTTGTATGAGGAATTGACTTTAATAAGAGGCTTAAAATTCACACACAGCAACAAGATGCTTCACACACAGTATATCTTATAAAGATGATATTTTACAGTTATTACTCTGACAGGAGTAAATGGAGGGGACTGTCTCTGCAAGAACATGTCACTATCTTCAACTACAGCAATAGATCTTGTCTAAACATCAATCATGCATCATGTCTGCCTTGAACATGTATCTGGTGTGTGCGCGCGTGTGTGTATGTGTGCATGCTTGATGTGAACATATTTGCATTATTTATGGTGCATATTTATGGAGACATCCAGAAATAGTTTACAAACCTGTTTGACAGGTTGAACCATTTAAATGAAATAACTGTCAATTCCAGAAGGTTCTAAAGGAGACGATTTGTACAACCATTTCCATACATATACACTCTCCGGCCACTTTATTAGGTACACCTTACCAGTACTGGGTTGGACCCCTTTTTGCCTTCTGGACTGCCCTAATCCTTAATGGCATAGATTCAGCAAGGTACTGGAAATATTTCTCAGAGATTTTGGTCTATATTGACATGATAGCATCATGCAGTTGCTGCAGATTTGTCGGCTGCACATCCATGATGCAAATCTTTTTTCCACCACATCCCAAAAGGGCTTGGATTTAGACTTGGTGACTGTGGTGGCCATTTGAATACAGTGTACTCATTGTCATGTTCAAGAAGCTAGTCTGAGATGATTCACGCTTTATGACTTGGAGCATTATCCTGCTGGAAGTAGCCATCATAAGATAGGTACACTGGTCATAAAGGAATGGACATGGTCAGCAACAATACTCAGGTAGGCTGTTGCGTTAACACGATGCTCAATTGGAACTAACAAGCCAAGTGTGCCAAGAAAATATGCCCAATCTCTGAAATACTCAGGCCAGTCTGGTCTGGCACTAACAATCATGCCAAGGTCAAAGTCACTTAAATTACTTTTCTTCCTCATTCTGATGCTCGGTTTGAACTGCAGCAGATTGATTTGACCATGTCTACATA